GATGCTGCGACCCAATAGAGGGTAGACAAAGGGACAAAGAAGTTTCAAATGGAATATATAATGGGTCATCAGCGCGCGGTACCTCAGTTGGTGCCCTGATTACCGAATTAATCGTTAAGTGCAATGCAAAAAGTATGGTAGATTATCTTGTGAATGTTGATGAGGACGTGGACGTGGACGATGTAGTGTTTGAAAATATCGGAAACATTGAGGACATAGCCGAGTTTATTAGAAACGTGGATGAGGAACAATTCGCGAATATCAGAGACGACGTGTTCGAAGTTATTGATGAAATGGAAGTAGATTTTGCGAACGTACTAAATGAAGATTCATCCGACGAAGAATCCGTGTTATCCGACGACGCCGGTTTTGCCAGTGATGCGAGCGAATACGAAACGGATCTTGAAGAAACATTTATACCATCTGCCGAAATCCGTGCACTGAACGGTCGCACAGTGCGGCGACACTGGACAAAATTCAAAAAAATTATGATTGGTATTGATTACATTAATGAAGTTAAATTAACGACCACTATATTTTAATTAAAACTAATTTATTTTTGTTCACAATATCTAGTAATGACTTGAAACAACCTCACTTTGCGCGGACGTAGCTCGTCGGTCACGGGCTGCGGCCAGGGTCGCAAAGAGGTTCGGCAAGGAGGAGAGAGATGCAAGGCGGTAATAATGTAATAGATATGGATTTCGTGGTAAGATGTGAATATATTCTGTATGGAGTACAGAGAGAGAGAGAGAGTGAGAGAGAGAGAGAGAGTGTGTGTGCGCGCGCGCGCGCGCGCGCGCGTGTGTGTGTGTGTGTGTGCGTGTGTGTGTGTTGATACAATTTGTCGCGGCTGGTGTGTTTGCTGACGGCGGTGTGTATGTGCGTGTATACAATGCGTGTCGGTGCGAGTGTGCGGTGTGTTGTGTAGCGCGTATGTGTGTGTGTGCGGCGGGCACGATTCGCAGTGCGAACGTGGTCGCGTGAATCGCTCGGTGACGCGGGGTGCGCGGAACGCGGGCTTACACCGCTAGCACGTGCGTCGCGATGTTCGCGCGACGCGTCGCAACGCGAGGAGCGATACGTCGCCCCGATGGATCCGCTTTCTGCGTTAGCGTTGCTATACGGCACGACTTCGACTGTCGGGAACGTCCGACGGAGGCGGG